CTGTTTCTCATTCCCATGCTCATTTGCCTCAACCTAACAGGGCACGTCTGCACAGTGCCTCATTCCTCCCCTTGGACCTGTCTCACCAGTTTGTTCCCTCCTTGGTATTTGTTGCTTATATACAGGGACTTTCTCCCACATTACTACTCAGCAGGTTTTGCCAGCTGCATCCACAGGTCAATCTGTCTGTCCATGGAGATGCTTTTGTCCCGGAATTGGATTTTGCTACAAGTTTTACCAAGAGCTGGAAACCCCTGCAGGGAAGAGCCAGCGGGATAGCAGCAGCTTCTGTGTGTTGTCCCTACAAGCAGAGGTGGGACAGATCTGCCACAAATGCCCAGTGACGAGGCACTGGTGATGCATTCTGTGCATATGCCTCCTCCATCTAAGAACAGCCAGGGGTCCTGTTGCTGCAGTTTCCCTTTAAATGTCTTTGGGAAGTTTGCTGTAGTTGTAGTCGGAGAGCTGCTCTGCAGGCACCTGCCCCTTGGGCGGCTGGGGAGCTATAAGGCTCAGCTCTGCTGAGGCCAGCCAAGCTGTCACTGCCTTTCACTGTGGCCAGGCTCTGGCGGCAGCCCGTGTCCCACTCAGCCTTCCACCAGGCAGCCAATTAGCGAGAAATCCCACTGTGTGGCCAGCTCCAAACAGCCACTGTGCCAGGGCCCGGGCTGACCCGTGTCTCGCCGCAGCTGGGTGAGGGCTACCTCCTGCCCCGCTGGCCAGCGAGCCGGGGGATGCACAGTGGATGGTCAGCAGGAGAGGGCAGCTGAGAGCCTGTGAGGCTCTGACAGGCGGCCGGACATGGGGCTTTTCAGGAAGACCCTGCCTGGAGGCCTGAGCGCCACAGGTGGGAACATCTCTCCAGCTCCTGAATATTCATCTCAGCCTGGGCTGCAAAATGGGGCAAAGCCAGGCCCAGCTGCCGGCTGCTGTCCAGCAGTAGCATGGCTGCGCTGCTGACAGAGCCGGGAGCAGCCTGCTTGCTCCAGCGCTTGCACACTGTGTGAGTAAAACCTTTCCCCAGAGCTGAACCACCAGCTTCTTCCATGGTCTGAGGACTAAGGGTCTCTGGAAAGCCTTTCTGGCCTTGAATCTTTAAAGGAGTTCTGTGCTGGTGTACTCTGTCCTTGCTTTGTGCCTCCAGTTACCTGTTCCTCTTTGGTTTTGCTCTCTCAGTCTCCAGCTGTTTACAGGACTTTGTCAAGTCAAAAAGCATGCAGTGCTCTCAGAGCCTTGCTCCTTTGGCAGGATTCAGTGTGCACCCAATTCTTCTTCCTCTCCTCTGTTCTTTTGTCTCTAGCGTCCTTTTTAGGTGGAGTAGCTGTAGTCAGTGTGCTGGCAATACCCAGTGACTCGGACATCAGCCGTTCCAAGGTTACACTAGAAATCACAAAAAGGTTTATGATGTTACAACTAGGTGCATCTTCCCTAGTCTTTGTATCTGCTGGACCACCAGCACCTCCTTCCTTAGCTGTCAGGAAGGTCGCAGGCCTCTGCACGGTCTGAGACCCAGCCAGCGGCTCCTTCAGCACGTAGTTTTACAGGGCTTCTCTCAGTTTCTGCCCCACATTTCATTTCTAACAGAGTCTGTGTGACTGGTGGCTGAGCTGAAAAAAAGATAACACATCTCATAAGAAGCAAATTCTTGCCGGTCTTAGGATGATGGCAAGTAGGCAGTGGGATTTAGTGCAGCTGGCTTCTTTCAGCTTCAAGGTTGTGTTCAAATGCATGGTCTGTGGCTATGGAGCCCTACCCAGCGCAAATCTGCTCCTCTTGCAAGATTTCTTTTGACCCCAAGCTTCAAAGCTTTATTGCCTTGTTTTAATATTAAACAATGTATTTTTGATCATTGCTAAATAAGTCTCTTGTGTTTTCCTCTTAATGAGAAACAGGCTGTTTCATATCTGTGAAGCAGGAGAACCTTTCTCTCTAGTGAGAGGAGAGCATAACGCTCCCTGCTTACTGCTGCAGCTTTCTCTTGTTGCAGACATTCCTGTGATCCCTGACTTGGAGGAAGTCCAGGAAGAAGATCTGGCCATGCAAGTGGCAGCTCCCCCCAGGTAAGAGCACTGCCAGGTGCTCCTGAGGCTCTCATCAGCAGTGCGAAATGGCTGGTG